AGAGAGAGAGAGACCTGATAAACGGGTAATTTAAGTGGTTCAAGGCAAATGGGGCAATCCAGTAGATCCGGATCCATCAGGTTCACAGAAACGGGTCTCGCCGCCGTCGAATTTACTCCTCTTGCGCTGGATTGTAGTTCTTCTTCCACGCGCCGCCTATTATTTCCTCTTTCCTCTTCCTCTTCCTCTTCCTCTTCCTCTTCCTCTTCCTCTTCTTCTTCTTCTTCTTCTTCTTCTTCTTCCTCTTCCTCTTCTTCTTCTTCTTCTTCTTCTTCTTCTTCTTCTTCTTCTTCTTCTGCTACTTCTTCTTCTGCTACTTCTTCTACTGCTACTAATTCTTCATCGTCATAATAAATATCATTAAAATAAAACAACCGCCCAAACGGCGGCGGAGGTTCAACACGGTTAATCGCCTCATATGATGGAGGTATGACGGAGTTGTAGCCGCCACGGCGTTTGCCGTAGCCGTAGCCGACTTCGCCGGAATTCGCGGCGGGGACGGAGGAAGAGGAGGGGGAGATCGCCGTTCTGTAGATGCAGGGTCTTTTGCTGTTAGGTCCGTCGTCGTCGCTGCTCCGAGAAAAGTTCGCCATTGTTTACTTCTTCTGCCGTAGGGTTTTGAGAATATAGTAAATTATATATACTAGTATTTATTATAAAAAATAGTAAACACGTATGATATGTACAATAGCGAAAATAATGGAACCTCAACGTACATACGTGTGCTTTAAAAAAGGAGAGAAAAATAAGTACTGGAAGGAAAGAAAAAAAAAAAGAAAAACAAAAAATAATTAAAATGAAAAAACAAACGTGAAAAAAAATAAAATTATGGTTGATCGTGTTTAGTGGGAAGAGGATAAAAAAAGAAGGAAATAAAAACAAAATAATTAAAAAAGGGTGTCCTATAAAAAATGAGAGAAAATTTAGTACTAGAAGAGAAAAAAAAAAAAAAAATTTAAAAAAATGTTAAAATAGTTGACCTGTTTAGTGGGACGGAAAAAAAAAAGAAAGAAGAACAAAAGAAAAAGAAAACAATTAAAAAAAATCAAAATGTGTTTTATATAAAAGAAAAAAAAATTGAATGTGCTATAAAAAGGGAGAAAATAAAGGAAATAAATATTGTATAATAATATTTAGGGTGAGCATTCTGAAAGGACCGTCCGTTAATAGTGAAATCTCGTCCACTCATTAGCTGACACGTGTATGTATTTACTGAGAATTGAATTGTTATGCTGCCAATTACTCATCTTATAATAGGAATAATTAACTACTATAATTAATGCTTAATAAGGGGGCCACGTAATTTTTGCCACTAACAAATTATATTTATTATTTTCTCTGTTTTTCGTATCCTTTTCTTTATTCTTGTTTTATTTAGAAACTAGTAATCGTGCCCGTGCGTTGCACGGGGTCACATTCAACAAAGGAAAAAAAGTAATTATTTAAATAAATAATAGTACAAATTGTAATAAAAAATCTTTAATATTGAAATATATATATGTATTACGCTGTTATTACCTTATTTTATTGGAGCATGTATTTTTCTTCCTACAATAACTATATAAATATATATACACCGAGTGTCAATATATAAAATATATGTTAAACGATAAATAATACAAATTTAATAAAGGGGACGGCTATTTTAAATACTAATTGTTTCTCACTTCAGTATCGCCTAAATAATAAATAAGTAATGACATCTATACCATTAATGAAAATCTGTATCACACAAACATAAAAAGATCTCATTTTTCTTTCTTTAATACCACACACACAAACCCACCCCCATGTTTCTTCTTCACAAACATTCCCTCCCACTCGTGTTTCTTCTCCTTTTTCTTCTTTTTTTTTCTTCTTCGTTTCCTCCTACTTTTTCTTCCTTCTTCTTTTCCTCCTGATTCTTCTTTCTTCTTCTTTATTGTTCTTCTTCTTCTTCTTCTTTTCCTCATCCTCCTTCTCTTCCTTCTCCTGCTCCTTCTTGTTCGCTTTCTTCTTTCTCTCCTTCTTCTTCTTCTTCTTCTTCTTCTTCTTCTTCTTCTTCTTCTTCTTCTTCTTCTTCTTCTTCTTCTCT